CACTTGTATAGGAAAACCAACACCCATTTTTAATGCAGCTGCAGTTGGTACACCTAATCCCGTACCTTAAATTAAAAACAGATTAATAATCTTTCTCTTGATAAAATTTATATTATTATAATTTATTATTTTAAAAATATGTGCATGTGTATATAAATATCATTTACCAAGTGTAGGTTGGATTCTTGGTTTTGCTAAATCTGTTATTAAAGGTAATGGTTTAACGTAGCCATTATTTCGTAGCATTTGATGATACATGTCGATTTGTTCCTTTAACGTTACATTTACCCTAATTTGTTCTTCATTATCTTTCATAACTTCATCGTATCTTCTATCTAATCTTTGTTGTTCATTTAATAATTCTGTATTAATATCGAGAAGTTCCTGTAATCTTCTTTTCATCGAAGTGAGACGTAAATTACGATCCAAGTAATATCCTATAAACTCTACGCTAAAGGCTGGAGGGATGTGCCATTTTTTTCTTATATCCACTAAAGCTACAAGTTGCGCCTCCTGTGCTTCTAACACTGTCGTATCAACGCCCATTAATTTAGCTTTTTTTGCTAATTGTCGACACGCAGATGCGGATGTAGTTAAAAGACGAGGCATTTTTTGAGTTGGTACTGAAAATAAAAATAAAAAAAGAAATAATAATAATAATAATAAGTATTGTAATAATTTGAAATATTTCTAACATACCCCAAGGAACTGGACGAGATGCTTTATGGGCTAGATATTTATGTCTATGTTTTGCCAATTTCCTTTGAATTCTGCGCTGCTCCTCTGTATCTAAATGGTTTGGTTGTTTTAAAAGTTGCTGTCGATATTGTGCACGTAATTGCAATGCTAGCCAATTGCGTTTGCGTCTGCGAACGAGAAGTTTATCCGAATGTAATTTACAATGTGCATAAAATGGGTCAGCTTGATCCACCTCTTCGCTATGCGCTTCAGATAATAAACCTTCTCGCTGAGCACTGAAACATATGTTTTTTAAGATTACACCTGAATAAATCAAATATTATTATTCCATATATAAAATGTATCTTACCAAGTAACATGAAAATATGTATGACACATTCCAGCATCGCATTCGATACAAACTCCAGTACGAGAAAAACGTGCATCTTCGCATAAAGAACATTGCTTTGCACCCCATTTGCTATATGCCATTTCAAAAAGTGTTACACTAGATAAACGATCCACCTAAATAAAATATCAATTGTATATATTTAAAAATAATTAATTAATCACACATTCAAAATAATTTACCTCGCCAAAAGCTACACCAGGTACATAGAGAGCACAAACTAAATGAACCCATTTTCCTACATCAGTTTCTTTAAAAATTCCACCTTTATTAGGACAAAGTTCACACGATGGATCTTCAATGCCTGCGCTGCATGCCTCACAAAACCACGGAGCTGATTGGCACAATGAATCGGTACTGGAGAAACTTTCTACATCTGATACACCATAGCATCCTGCAATGATATATTGATTATCAATTAATAATCTCTCTTGTAATATATTACATGATTTTTATAAAATGTAATTAAGATTTACCTTCATGAACACTAACTCCACATCCATCGCATTCAACAATTTCGTTAACATCATCACTTCTGTCACCAAGACAGCCACAACAAATAAGCATTTTGTTTAATTTTTCATCAATTGGTCCACCTTTCATCGCTTGTTGACGAGCTTGTTCTATAACATCTCCCACATGTGGACCAGTGTTCTCTTTTGTATTTAACAACGGATCACCTAAAGAATCATCTGAATCTTCTGATCCATCTTCTTCTGATAAAATCAAATAAATATATATATATATATATATATTTTTTATACATTATTTTTTATAGATAAAATGAAAAATTAGTTTTAATATTAAAATTAAGTAACCTTTTCCAACATCATTAGAATCAACCGAGTCATCATCTGATTCTTCGCAATGATCTTCAATTCTAAAATCACTGTCATCGGAGCTTTCACCTAAATCAAAATCTAGCAATGACTGTTGAGCAGATTCAACAGGCTTTACTCTTCTCTTTTTTGGATCTCTTTCGACTGTAAAATAATAACAATTATTTTCATTAAACGTATGAAAAATTAATAATTAAAATAAAAAGAAAAGCAAATTCTTTATACAAAAAATATAATGAATTGTATAAAATTAAAATAAATAACTGTTTAATTATGTCAATTTTATACTGTATTATAATATATAAAATTAATATACTGTAATAATATATAAATATTAGTATATATCAATAGTTATAAATAAATAACATAGTCAATTTAAATAAATAAAGTAAAGTAGTAATAGTAGTAAGAAAGTTAAGGAAACGAAATTGAGGTTATGTTCATTGCTTATTAGAAAAGAATACATACAGGGACTAGTCATTGTATCTTAATTTCGATATGATAATTTCCTATCAAAAGTACAATTATTCCGCACTATTATTAATTATAACAATGATGTAATCTCTCTTTTCTTCCTTTTTTCTTCTTCTTATTAAAACTGAGTGTACACGTAGAGGTATATATCCTTCTTAATGGGAGAACTCCCACCCTTCGTTTGATGTATGAAATGAGATCTCTCTTTAATATTAGCAATACGTCTTGTTAACAATATACACGTTGTGCATTTAGTTTATTTGTTAATGAAATATAATTTTAACATATATATATGCATAATAAGTCAATAAATCAAACAAAATTAATCAAAACAACTCGATCTATTCGTACATTTGATTTGATTAGATGAAAGTTCACCAATACTTTTAAATCTTGTGTTCACACGAGATTTTTTTACTAATACATTTCCATATAAAATAATAAAATAGAAAAAAAAAAGAAAGAAGAAAAATAAAAGAATGTAAAATAAAAAATGTATTTATTTCTAAATACAAAATAATATTCTACTTGTAATTTAAGGGGGGACAAAATTAACTAATTGCTTTTCGTTCATTAAAACATCGTTTCTTATTAAATCATATAGAAATCAAACGAGTGTTATAAAAATATAATTATAAAATACTTCTCATTGATATTTATATTTTTAGTGTAAAATTAGTATTTCAATTGTATTATTTTTAAATTCTTTGACAGACAAACATACATATTATAAATTCTCATAAAAGAAGAAGAAGAAGAAGAAGAAGAAAAAAAAACATTTCTATTATAGATTCCGTAATTTAACATTTACGATTTGTAATAAGAAATGAAAATAAAAAACAGAATAATATTTAATAAAATTAAATTCACGATTTATTATATATGTATATATATAAAATTTCAGTGTACTTACTCATTGTTTTATATAAAAAGCCTACGTCGTCTTCCTGAGACATTTTTGGTCACGAAAACGAATCTTTAGAGAAGAATAATACTTTTATTTTGATTTTCGGTTTGCTCTTTTAATCACGACGAGTATTCGTTTATCTTATGAGATTGTTTATATTCGATAAATTCGAAATATCTTCTCATATCAAAATTCACTTGATTAAGTCAATAGAAAATTTTTATCCGTAACAAGGAATCTCCTGCATTGATGAGATCCTTTCCATGGTGTTATAACACAAGTTCTATATAGTTATTCTTCGGTTCATCGTCAAATCGCCATGTTGCTTTTCGAAAAATCCTTTAAGCGGGAAATTTGAATATACGAAGAAAATCTGCATTTTAAATATAATTATTTTAATGTATTTATTAACAACGAAATTTATTCTATTTACACCAACATTTTTATCATTTTGTCTAAATTTTCAAATTTTTTACATTATCTTTAATGGAAAAATAATTAAATAATTGAATTAACATACCTTTATTAACACGAATAAAATGTAAAAGTAAATTATCTTCCTTTTGTTTTTCTTAGATAATATTTTTAATTTTGTTTATTTTAGATGAAATAAATCTTTAACAAATTCAAACATTTGTGTTTATAAAGCTATACATTTTTTTAAATAAAACGAACATTTTATTTTCTTTAAATAATCTATCATTTATTTTATATGTTGTGTTTTTATTGAGAAATAGAAATTTTTTAGCGACAATATGGCGATCTATTGGTTACTTATGTATATACATATATATTGATGCATACAGGGGGAGAGGGTAAACGTTATAAATGTTTATCTTCAATAATTAAACATTAAAAATTATTTTTTCTAACATTATATCGTTCTAGGGAGGTTAAAAAATATTGTTAATATTAAAATATTGAAAATTTATGCTATTAAACGAGAAAAATAATGTTCTTTATGATTAATACTTATGTCAATGTATATCATCTAACTTGCCATTAGAGAATGAAGCAATCCATAGATAGTATGGAGGGTAGAGATAAGGAGTAACATCTCTGTATATGAAAAGTGTCTGTCGAAATGAAGGCAATAGGGTGGCGCCACAGGTCGCAGAGTGTCAATTTTAAAGGAAGCGCCAAATATTAGAGTAGAATTGAGAAATAAACAAGGAACACAAATGTTACTCATAACTGTTTTGTTATTCACATACTTTTTCATAAAATTAAATGATAAAAAATCAATAAACGTACTATTGACAGTTCACGAAATAAAATCACTCTAGCTACACGTTTTCTCATAATAATTCTTTAAGGTTATATTTACTACATTATTACATAATTCGGCATACTTCAATTCGGTTACAATTGCTACATTCATAATACATCTCTATTTTCACCAGCGCCATTCTGGAAGGTTTTTGAACTATTATTTTCAGAAAACGCTGGACACTTTTTCACATTTTCTCCCATAAGAGATGTTACTTCTTACTTCTACCCTCTATAATAGATAGTAATCGTAGTAGGCTATGGAACATACAATAAAGAATGTTCCTAGAAATCTCTAGAAATTTTTTGTTACTAAAATATCATATGTATCAAGTAAATATTCGTTCTATCAATGTGGTAGCCCTGATAGTAATAAATAGTAACCACGAGGTCCGGTTTAATATAATTTTAATATGAGTATTTTTCAATAAATTTGACATTTGTAAATAATATTTATATCTATTTGTATAATCTAATTTGTATAATAAAAATGGTTAAAGAACAATTTAGAGAAACCGATGTCGCTCGAAAAATGTATGTATGACAATTTATAAAATATTTTCCTTGTTATAAAATTTTCAAATAATTATTATATGTTAATGACTGTAATATATATTTACATTACTGCATAGGTTATAATATTTAAAATGTAATAAATTAATGATTTGTAATTCTTTGATTATAATTTATTAGATCACATGTATCCTTTGGGGTGGATACCCCTTACAACATGGAAAGACAGGCTCATCTCCAGGTTGTTTCAAACAATGTTTACAATGCAACAGATCATAGTCCTGAACAATATGGTGTTCTTGACAATCGTATGGTATGTTAAATGAAAGATTATATTTATAATATATTAAAGTAATAGATTGTATTTTTAAATGGCTAATAAATTTTGTTCATAGGGTACAAGTTCTAATGCAACTAACTGTACAACCTGTGGGAAATCATTGAACGATTGCATTGGTCATTTCGGATACATTGATTTGGTATTACCAGTTTTTCATGTTGGTTATTTTAGAGCTGTTATTAATATTCTTCAAAGTGTTTGTAAGGTAATACGGATGAATTTTCTATAATATAATTTAACAATATTTATATATGTGTCTTTTTTAATACGCTCTTTTAATTCATAGAAATGTTCCCATGTAATGTTGTCTAAAGCAGATAAATCATATTATCGGCCTAAAGTTGTTAATCCTAATTTGGGATATCTTGCACGTAAAGCTTTAAGAAAACAGATTTTATTAAAAGCAAAAAAGACAACAATATGCCAAAATTGTGGAGAACTCAATGGTACTGTGAAAAAAGCTGGGCTACTTAAAATAGTTCATGAGAAATTTAAAGCGAAGAAAAAAACTGATCCTATTGTTGCGGATAAAATAAACGAGTACAACCATGTAGTTGAAAATAATAAAGAAATAGATGGGATACTTCAAAGTGGAATGGGCGATATTTTAACTCCTACAGAAGTATGATTTTACAATGTTTCAATGAAACTTACAAGAATATAATAAACTTTATTGATTTAATTTCAGGTTCAAAAAATTTTGGCAGAAATACCAAAAGACGATATTCCTTTCTTATTAATGAATTATGAATGTGCTTCACCAGAAGATTTGATTCTATCAAGAATACCTGTACCACCAATTTGCATTAGACCAAGTGTTGTATCTGATTTAAAAGCAGGAACTAACGAAGATCATCTTACTATGAAATTATCTGAAATTATTTTTATTAATTCTTCTCTTGCAACACATAGTATACATGGTGCTAATTGGTCAACAATCAATGACGATTATGAATATTTACAATTACATTGTGCTCTTTATATTAATAGTGAAATGTCAGGAATACCATTGCAGATGCAAGTAAGTATTACTATTCAAATTAAATGAATATTAGACAGGTTAAGAATTATTGCTATATATTATGTATATTACAGCCATTGAAGCCATGTAAAGGATTAGTTCAAAGATTAAAAGGAAAACAGGGACGTTTTCGTGGTAATTTATCTGGAAAACGTGTGGATTTTTCTAGTCGTACGGTGATATCACCAGATCCTAATTTAAAAATAGAACAAGTAAGTTTTATTTCACGAGCACGAGCAAAATTTCATTTTATTATTATCCATAATAAATATATTTTTTTTTTCTTAGGTAGGTGTACCTGTTCACATTGCAAAGATATTAACGTATCCAGAAAAAGTGAATCCATCGAATATAGAATTAATGCGACAATTAGTTAGAAATGGGCCCGATGTACATCCTGGTGCAAATTTTGTACAGCAAGGAAAGACTCAATTCAAAAAATATCTTCGCTACGGTAATCGTCAGAAAATAGCTCAAGATCTACAAGTAATAGTCTTATTTGCAATATTAGAAATTATTTATAATTAATCCTATTTTATTAATCATTAAGTTACGGCTCATTTAATGACATTTTTTTAGTTTGGAGATATTGTTGAAAGACATCTTAGGAATGACGATGTAGTTTTATTCAACCGGCAACCCTCATTGCATAAGTTGAGTATAATGGCGCATAAAGCTAAAGTATTGGAGCACAGAACATTCAGATTTAATGAATGTGTCTGTACTCCTTATAATGCTGATTTTGATGGAGACGAAATGAATTTACATTTACCTCAAACAGAAGAAGCAAGAGCAGAAGCTTTAATACTAATGGGGGTAATGTAATAAACAAATATATTGTTTCATTTTTTGATTGGAAATTTAAATTCATTATTGAATATAATTGACGTATTGACTTTACAAATATTATCAGTTTTATTGTATTTTTCTAACTAATTGAAGTTGAATTAAATTATTAATTTTAATTATTGTATTTAGAATAAATCTAATTTGGTTACACCTCGGAATGGAGAACTACTAATAGCAGCAACACAAGACTTCATTACTGGTGGATATCTTCTAACAAGTCCAAGTACTTTTTTAAATAAAGTACAAGCATATCGATTGGCAAGTTGCCTATTAGCAGATACAGATGTTAATATGCATATAGACTTTCCTGAACCTACAATTTTAAAACCAATAGAATGCTGGACTGGTAAACAAATCTTTGATTTAATTCTGCGTCCCAATAAAATGTGTCCAGTGAAAGCAAATTTAAGAGGAAAATTTAAAAATCATACTAAGGACGAAGAACTATGTGTCAAGAGTGCATGTAAGGTTTATATATATATTATTTTCTATATTATTAATAAAATATAATTCATTATAAATATAATAATTTATTGCAGATGGTGTTATTCGCAACTCACAGCTGTTAGCAGGTGCTCTAGATAAATCTGTATTAGGATCTGGTTCAAAACAAAATATTTTTTATACCCTCTATTGTGATTGGGGTGAAGATGTTGCTACAACAGCAATGTGGAGATTAGGTAGATTAGCAAGTGTTTATCTTATGAACAAAGGTTTCTCTATTGGTATTGGAGATGTTACTCCAAGTGATGGTCTTCTTAAAGCAAAACATAAACTTTTAGATGATGGGTAAGTTTAGATTTGAATTATATGTACATTCATAGAATAATCATCATTATTTTTTCGTTAGTTATCTTAAGTGTACAGAATATATTCAACGATTGAAAGAAGGACGTCTTACTTGTCAACCTGGTTCTACAGAAGAAGAAACTTTAGAAGCAATGATATTAAAAGAGCTTTCTGGTATTCGTGATCTTGCTGGTAAAGCTTGTGTAGATGAACTTCGTCCAACTAATAGTCCATTAATTATGGCAATATCTGGCAGTAAGGGTAGCTTTATCAATATTTCACAAATGATAGGTATGCTTAGAAGAAATTCATTTTTAAATTGAAATTTGCATATTATGTAAGTAACTTAATATTATTATATATTTCAAATTTTATAGCTTGTGTTGGTCAACAAGCTATTAGTGGCCATAGAGTTCCAAATGGTTTCGAAGATCGAGCCTTACCTCATTTTGAAAGAGGATCTAAAGTTCCAGAAGCCAAAGGTTTTGTCGAGAATTCCTTTTTCTCTGGTCTCACTCCTACTGAATTCTTTTTCCACACAATGGGTGGTCGAGAAGGTCTTGTAGATACAGCTGTAAAAACTGCTGAAACCGGATATATGCAAAGAAGATTAGTCAAGAGTTTAGAAGACTTGTGCCTTCAATATGACTTAACAGTACGAAATGCAGTAGGAGATATAGTGCAAGAAATTTATGGCGGTGATGCATTAGATCCAACATATATGGAAGGTACAATCAATTGATTTTTCTATATCGTTAATAATATTAACAAAACAAATCAAGAATCTATTGCATCGATGAAATTTTGTAGGAAACGATTGTCCAGTTGATTTCCAAAGGGTTCTTGAACATGTAAAAGCTAAATCCCCATATAAAGAGGAAGATGCATTAGATGGTCGCAGTGTGGAGAAAGGTACGGAGGAATTGTTGAAATCAGAAGAGTATCAATGCATAAGTGACGAATTTAAACAGGAATTAAAGTAAGGAATATTACGAGTATATTATCTATAACAATTATCTTAATGTTAAACATTTAAAACAATTAACTTTATGACAAATGATATTTTAAAACAGCACATTCCTGAAATCTGTTGCAAACAAAATAAGTAATTTTCGAGAAAATATTAAAGTAATGACGCCTGTTTTGTCACATGTTGAGCGATTAACTGTATCTCAATTAGTGGAATTCATTCACACTTGTAAAGAAAAATATATGAAAGCTAAGATTGAACCAGGCACTGCGGTAGGTGCATTGGCAGCGCAAAGTATTGGAGAACCAGGAACACAGTTAACATTGAAAACGTTCCATTTTGCTGGAGTTGCTTCGATGAATATTACACAGGGTGTACCACGTATTAAGGAAATTATAAATGCAAATCCAAAAATTAGTACTCCTCTTGTTAAAGGAGCTTTAGTAAGTACTGTTTTTTATAAAGCTATATAATTATTGTAATTATATTTTTATATATATTTATCAGACGAATGATACGGATCCTGAATTTGCAAGACGCGTTAAAGGGAGAATTGAAAAAACTACTTTGGGAGAAGTAACTCAATACATTGCAGAAGTTTATATGCGTGATAAATGTTATCTCTTGATTAAATTAGATCTAGATAGAATAAAGTTATTACAATTAGAAGTAGATGCTAATTCCATACGTTATTCGTAAGTATAATGAATTTTTAGCAATGTCCTTAAAAGAAATTATAACACAACTGTGTTTTATCATTTTACAGAATATGTACATCAAAATTAAAATTAAATCCACAAACTGTGATCGTACAAAATAATTCTATTATCACTATTAATCCCAGTAAACAAAAATTAAGTTTAAATTGTGCAATTACTCATTTAAAAGAAGCAGTCCTTAACGTAGTAATTAAGGTAATTATAAATATAGAACTATAAGAAATTTGTATTTGAATAATATTACTTATACATATATTTATTATCGTATTTAGGGACTACCATCGGTATCAAGAGTTATAATAGTAAATAATGATTCACAAGGTAAAGATAAATACGAATTTTTCGTCGAAGGAGACAATATGAGAGAAGTAATGGCAATACCTGGAGTTGTAGGCAAACATACTACATCTAATAATACGATTGAAGTATGTGATATAAAATGATACATTTTATAATTAAATAATTTGTTAGTTTAAGAGATAAATTAAATATATATTTATTATATTGATGATTTAGGTATTTAAAACATTGGGTATTGAAGCAGCAAGAAAAACTATTATGAATGAAATCAAGGCAGTAATGCAGAATCACGGAATGAGCATTGACAGACGTCATGCAATGCTTGTTGCAGATTTAATGACAAGTAGGGGCGAAGTACTTGGTATTACGAGACAGGGTTTAGCAAAGATTAAAGAATCTGTTTTAAATTTAGCATCGGTAAGTAACATGTTTTATATAATTGTTGACAGTAAGTTTTTTACTACGTACGTTATATATTTTTTCAGTTTGAAAAAACGGCAGATCATTTATTCGACGCAGCTTACTATGGGCAAAAAGATATCATTTGTGGTGTATCGGAATCCATTATAATGGGAATACCAGCCCCAGTAGGAACCGGAATTTTTAAACTACTACACAAATATCCTTTTTATACTGATATTAATCAAAGATATTTTTATATATTCATCATATATTTTTTCATATATATATATTTTTAATTTCCAGGTATATATTATTAGTATCGTAGTCATATTTATATTTAGAACATTATTCGACAAATTATTTTCCTTATTAATTAAATACAGCTGATAAAGAAAAACCAAAAAAACGAGAGCTAATATTCGATGACGCCAAATTTCATAAGAAGGATAATTAATAATGTAAATTGTTACGTTTTTTTAATAAAAAACAAAAGTTTTCTTCTTAAATTTATGATAATTTCCTTATGATTTTAAAATAAAAATTAAATACAAATTTTATTTAAAAAAATGATTTGTTAAATGGTTATTCATTGGTTTAATGTTTGTTACTATAGTAAGTATTGTTAATAACAACATTGTTTTATCTAGATGTATATAATATTATTAGCAGCCATAATTTAACTACCATAAAATTCATTAACAAAAATGAAAAATACTATAATGTTTATAATGAGAATAAAAAATGCACTTATTTAAATTCAATTGTTTTTTACTTTTTTTTTAATTAAATACTATCTCGTCATTTAATGGTTTGAATTAATAGAAATAAATAACAAATTTACATAGTTCATTGATCACTATAATATTTCCCGTTATAAAAATGTTACGTTCCTGTTAAAACACGTGCGTTTGTTTACCTTTACTAATTGAATTTTTTGAATAGATAATACAAATTTTTGTACATATTAAACTTGATTATAATATTAAATAATGTGTTATAAATACGTATTATTTATTTTTTTAATGATTCAAAAAACTTTTAAGTTATAAATTGATTTATTTTATCAATTGATAACTAAAAAAAAATATTAAACCAGGTGTTTCTAGTTCCGTTCTTGAACACTACGTGTCGCTAATGTTTTCTTTTCAAACATTATATAGGTTAGTTAAAGTATTTTTATAATACACGTGATTTTGTTTAACTCCATAAACAATTAATATACAAATTTAAGTTTATTGAGTGATTTTTCTACATCAAAGAAATATTATTTATTTATTAGTATTTGTGTGTTTTTGTGTGATATATTTGATTCATATGCATTCATCAATTAATATTATTTTTTATTCAATTTTCAATACAATTTTATACCATGGATCGTAACAAAAGAATAAAGTGGGAAGTTATTAAAAATAATGTAAAGGATAGAATGATAGAATCGTCATTAATTCATAAATTTAGTTACTCTAAAAAGTATACGAAAAGAACCAAGTTATTAAATAAATGGTTGGAAAGTCATAAAAGATGCAAATATAAGGATTATGTCAAGAGGAAACGATTAATTAAAGAAAATTTATCGAAAGATGTAACATCTGAAGACTATGAAAGCTACGGGGAAGAGGATTTTTCCATTGCACACAAACAAATTCTAGATAAAAGTGAGATCGAAAATAATCGACCTAAGATATCTAATAATACAGATATTGTTACTTCTACTCCAATAAATGTAAAAAAGGAAAAAAAATGTTCATTCAATCATTTAGATTCATTAGAAATTAACACAAAGGATATCAACTTAGAATCAAATATTTTTCAGGATAAGAATGACAATATAGTAAGTATTTGTTGCAATTTAAATCGACTTGCATTCATTTTACTCAATTTTAAGTATTTTCCTACAAAATTATCATAGAATAAAAAATCATTTTTAGATGTACATAGTGCTGATACAGTTCCAATAATTGAAATCAAAAAATCAGTAAGTCCAACTAAGAAAACACAATTTATAGATAACGAAGAGAAAAGGTTTGTAAATACCACTGATAATGATTCTGTAGTTGCAAAGAAAAGAAAAAAATCAAAGAAAGCATCCCTCAGTCAAGAGTGTAATAGTTCACTCATGAATGGTGAAAGAACTAGTCAAGAAACATTAGATCTAATTTCTGACAAAGAAGAAATAACATCGTATCATTCCAACTCATTTGTAGATAACATTAAGAAGAAATTTGCAAATACCACTGATACTGATTCTGTAGTTGCAAAGAAAAGAAAAAAATCCAAGAAATCATCCCTCAGTCAAGAGTGTAATAGTTCATTCATGAATGGTGAAAGGACTAGTCAAGAAACGTTAGATCTAATTTCTGACAAAGAAGAAATAACATCGTATCATTCTAACTCATTTGTAGATAACAAAGAGAAAAGGTTTGTGAATACCACTGATACTGATTCTGTAGTTGCAAAGAAAAGAAAAAAATCCAAGAAATCATCCTTCAGTCAAGAGTGTAATAGTTCATTCATGAATGATGAAAGAACTAGTCAAGAAACATTAGATCTAATTTCTGACAAAGAAGAAATAACATCGTATCATTCTAACTCATTTGTAGATAACGAAGAGAAAAGGTTTGTAAATACCACTGATAATGATTCTGTAGTTGCAAAGAAAAGAAAAAAATCAAAGAAATCATCCCTCAGTCAAGAGTGTAATAGTTCATTCATGAATGGTGAAAGAACTAGTCAAGAAACATTAGATCTAATTTCTGACAAAGAAGAAATAACATCGTGTCATTCCAACACATCGCCTAATAATAATAACACATTTGCTTTGGAAACGCTAAGATCACCGGTTATAATTTCATCTACTAACATATCCAATAATAACAAATATAAAATAATTAATAAGAATGAATTTTGTCGTAACTTATTCAACGAATATAATAATGCTAGTGTTAAAGATGACAAAGAAGAGGAATTAAAAGAAAATGTAATATTATTCAAAGATTCAATTAGCAGTAATAATTTGTCACAATATGATAAACGTATAAATCAAATTAAAAATTTAGATTTAGCTATTGATAGTTCATCAAGTGAGGATGAACATGAACAAGATTTAAGTAAAAAAACTTTTTTGTCTAATAAGAATGAAATAATAGATCATAAAAAAAATGTAAATAGTTCTGACAACAAAATTACAGTATGCAGTAAAAATGTCGATTCAACTACAGAAAGTACTTCGAATGAGGATGAACTGTTAAAAGGACAAAATTTAAATGAAAAACTGAATAATTCAAGTAGTACAACTTTTGAAAAAAGAATACGAAATAGATCCAAATTAAAGAGATCATCTAATGCAGATGATGAAAATGATCGAAGTATTTCTAATATACGGAGTAACAATAATAGTATAAATCATAATGACAACAGTATTGATCATCCAAATAATAATTCCAAAAATTGTGAACAAATACAAAGATTTGACAGTATACCCTGCAGTGTAAGATTAATCATTTACAAAGATTTATATAGATAATAATAAGATATAAAGTTGGTTAACTTTTCTTTTTTTTTTAGTTGCAAAATCTTATCAATAAAGAAAACTTAGTTCATGATTCAACTAAATCAACTTTTACGCTTGAAGATCTCTCTCAAGACAATGAAATATTTCTTTTAAATATTCCAAGTACAGTAAGTATTATATTAACGTACATCACACAATCAAAATGATTTATCAATAATTAGATTTTTATAATAAATAATGTAATTTTTTAATTTTAATATAGATAAAATTAACTGATTTAAAAGGCCAAAAAGTTGTTTTAAAAAATGAAAAACTAAAACTTGGAAAACATCAATATAGAATTTCGTATAAAGATGTACCATCTCAATCCTGTGTTTTTGCTACTCATCAAAATAGTAATTCATATAAATTAGGTATTTAATGCATTTTTTTTATATGAACAATGCCATTACACATATTTGAAACACATAATGTAATCATTTTAATAATATTTTTCAGTTAACATTAAACCTACCAGCTCGATCTTAGTGAGAGAAAAATTATCTCCATCATCGTTTTTATAAAAATAATATTCAAAGAAAAATATATAAAGAGACTTTTAATATTATCATTGTATCTACTAAAATATTGTTATTACATTGAATGCATTTTTTAAATTTAATATTAGACAAAAAAGAAGACTTTTATATATAATCGATGATATGATAATATAATAATAATTAATGTTATATTTTGTAAAAAATATATATTTAAATAAATATATAAATGTTTGATATCCTTATGATAATAATATATATTTAAAAAAAAAAATAATTATTCTATAATTATTTGAATTAGTTGAGATTATATTTGCTCGTATAAAGGTTGATTAAAAACAATTATGTAGTAATTCTTTTACTTTTGAGGTTAATCATTTGTTTATGTTTCATATACACATCGCTTAAAAATATGTTGTGTGTGCAATAAGTAAGCTATATAGAGTTCATTCATTAAATAATAATATCTCCTTGTTCGTGCCAAAAATATCCCAGCATTGAATCGTAACGGTAAAATTGTTTTATTTTATTTCATCGTAAAAAGTTATCACACACAGTATTGTAGAAAAAGGTTATGTATCTCATACGTAGTTGTGTGCACAAAGTTTGGTTTTAAGAAAAAGTTTAATTAATGTTCTAAAGCTAATATATCTATTAATTAATTAATTAATTATTTAATTGATATTATTCAAATAAAAAAAAAGTTCGAGTAAATATAATTATTTACATAATAATTTATTATATATATATTTTTTTTTTGTTACACAGTATTGACATTTGTACAAGTAATATAATGACAATTAAACATATTTATTCAATAATTTAAAGAATAGAAATGGAGGAAACGATAAAAGAAAATTGTAATACATTGACAATGACAAAAGACTTTATAAAAGTTTCATCTAATTGGATGATCGATAGAAACAAAAATTATGTAGATACTATTACAACAATACCATTATTGCTGGCCCCAGAGAGGTATAAAAATATATTTTTTGAAAAGATAAGATAAGATAAAGCATTATTTATATATAATATATATATATATATATATATATATATATATATTTATTTATTAAATTATACTAAAATCTTTGTTATAGTATAGATTTAGATGATATCATTTCCTTGGACACATGTATCTATTTACGTTCCGAGGAAAAAGTAACAGAACCATGTACATTGGATATTAAAATAACAAATAATCAAAAAATATCACGCATCATTGTTCTATCCGAAGCATATGTTTTAGAATTTTTTAAACAGTATGGAGAATATGCGACTACAGTATTCGCAGAATTTGTAGATGAATTTAAAGGAAGTAACATATATTTAGCTGAATTGAATTTTAAACATCCTACCACCGAGGCCAGTATTAAAGTAATACATCATTTTATTTCATAATGAATATTTTCTTTTCTTATTGAATTGTATTTAATAATCTTCTTTATTATTATCTTTCAGTTTACGAAAATAAAAAATACAGAACCTATATTATGGATATTCGGTATAAAACTTGTATTAACAGAATCTACTGAAGAAAATGAATCAGAAATACTTGATTATACGATAACTAATTTTTTGAATAATTTAAATGGTTCCGTACAACAGAAAGCAGCCATAGCTAATATTATGTTAGAATCTGTTAAACAAGATAAGAATACCATTAATGATGAAATCTTACCTCTAAGAAATCTTATGACTATTATTTCAAACAATTCAAAAGTACAAAATAATCATAAAAATAAAATAGAAGAGAGTAAAAAGGCAGATCTTAATTCCAAAGATGATTGTACAAAAAATATAGAAATCACAGATAACATTGAAACTTATATTAATAATAAGTTTCATGAAATGGAAGAAAGAACCATGCGTAGATTAAACGAAATAGAACACAACATTAATGAAAAGTTAAACGTTATACTTGAGAAACTTGAAATTAAATTAAAATAACGATATTTACGAAAAGAGAGTATTGTATATATATATATATATATAATTTTATAATTTATAATATAATACCTTTTTTTTTTCTTTTTTTTTTTTAATTATAATTCAATACCTTATTTCTATTGTATTCATATAAAAAAAAAGATCAACTCTTAATTAATTAACATTGTTCAGTATTTTCGTTTTCTTTTGGAGGATCCCAATTATGGAGTTGTTTTCTCCATAGTTTAATCATTCCATCCCATCCTCTTCTGCTATATTTATTGTATTTTGGGGGAGTTCTTGGATGATCCTTTGTACGTTGTTCCCTTAATTAAAACAATACAAAATATTATATAGATTAAATACTATATTAATTAAGAAAATACTCTAATATAATATAATGATATAATAAAACAAACGATTATATATATATATATCTATATAAAATCATTGATCTTTAAAAATAAATTTTTAGTTCATTGAATTATTACTTAGGAACTATTTTAATGTATCGATCATATCCAATAGTATTTTTCCCATAATCTATATCCTTTTGCCTGCGTGCAAGTACTGCAGGATCAGTTTCATATTCTACATTTCTTCTATCATCATCTCCTGAATATGATTTTGTACCATTGTTTGTAGAACTTGACTCATCGTTGTGTCTAAGACATGAAATTTTGGGATCTCGTGTCTCCAAGGTATCTCTTTGTCTTTTCTGTATTTTCGGTTGAACCGGACCAACTTCTTGTTCTTTTGATTTATCTTTATTTTCATGCTTGCGCGTACATTGTTCATTATTTTCATCTTTTTGTTGTTTGATTTGCTGAGTAGCATCAATTTTTAATTTTTTTATTTGACTTACAGATTCGTTTGTACTACTAGTCTTATTTGTTGATTTGTCATCTATTTTAATAGATTCTTTCGATTGTGCATTTGTCTTTACATTAGTATTCATACATAGTATTTCGTTAAGAAGATCATCTTCCTCGACTGTCAACCTTAATTCTTCATTATCCGAACTCATTGTTTGTTAAATTGTATATATTAATATTTTGAAAAATATATATATATATATATATATATATTTTTTAATTTGTAATTGATGATCGCACCACTAATCACATAAATGAAAACGTTCTTATTGTAGAAAACGTTATTTGCATTTAATGCATTAACCTATATTAGATGAAGACATTCGTAAGAATCCAATGATATATAACCTATATAGAAAGACGAAATTGAACAATTCTTGAGGTACTGACCACAAGTTCAGTATACGCTGTCAGTCACGACCTCTTTTCCTTCATGTTAATTATTTTTAATTGAAAATTTAAATCTTTATATATTTTCATAATTTTTATTTAAACAATTATTAATTAAATATTTACAAAGATATTTTCATTCTAATTTATAATGTCAAACTAATTTTTAAAGAATGAATGTAAATAAATATTGTCTTGTCTCATATTTATTTATGTAACATTTAATTTTCATAAAATAGATACACACACAAATTAAATAAATAATATTTATTATTATGTCATAAATAATTGTTTTTTAAATAATAAAATAATAGAATATTCTCTATAAGAGTCAATTATGTATTTGCTTGTGAAACTTGTTAAAATTATACATAGGATGTTGGATTAATTATAATACTTTTTAATATGTATATAAATACATATTATGTACATAATTAACAAAAAAATATATTTGGACATAAATAGCATCAATAACTGGGCATTGTTAACGTTCATATTTATAATTTTGTTCGTTTCTTTATCTAATTATATTTTCTTAAACCAATATTAGAAATTATTTGCGATCTTAGATTTTATACATTATCTGACTAAAAATTGATACTGTAGAAGGTTTATCTTTAAAACTTTATTTTGCTTTTCCTTGTGCAGCGACAGCAGCCATCGCTGCTTTGACAGTTTCTTCATCGCCCAAAAATTTCATAGAGACAACTGGTTTGAAATTTTCATCCAGCTCATATACAAAAGGAATACCAGTCGGTAGATTTAATCCCATAATTTGATCGTTTGACATTTCTGTAAGATAAAAGATTATTGTTTCATTCTATATGTTCTAATTTGATAATAATTTATACAGTAACGAATTTATATATACCATCAAGATGCTTGACTATTCCTCGCAAACTGTTTCCATGTGCAGCAATGATGATTTTCTTTCCTTCTTTCAATTGTGGTATGATAACATTATTCCAATAAGGCAGAGTCCTTTCTATGGTTAATTTTAAGGATTCAAATTTAGGAAATTCCTCAGGCTTAGGTTCGCTAGCATATCTAGCATCCTTAGTTATCGTTTCATAATATTTATGATCAGGTTCCATTGGAGGTGGTGGTACATCGAAAGATCTTCTCCAAATTTGTACTTGTTCCTCTCCATATTTAGCTGCTGTTTCTGCTTTGTTCATACCGGTGAGACCACCATAATGACGCTCATTTAATCGCCATGTTTTCAAAATAGGAATATCTTCTTGATTGATTTCTTTCAAAATAGATTTCAAAGTTTCTTGAGCTCTTGTCAAGACGGATGTATGAGCGACATCAAAAGTAAGACCTGCTTCTTTAACGGCTTTTCCAGCTGACACAGCTTCCGATTTACCTGTTGATTATTTATTATATAAAATCTCAAACAAATAGACATATAACAGATAAATGAATAGATAAATAGATGAATGACTATAATGGTTTGTTATATCTTAAAAATTTGAAAAAAAAAAAAAAATAAAACATATTTTATGTAATAAATTCAATAAGCTAGTATTTTAAGACATATATTTCATAGTTAATTTATAACAATTAAAACGAAAATAGTAAAAAATTAAAAATGCTAGGACATTTTTAAAGATCTCGTGACCTTTTGTCCTTGCAAAGATTTTTCTTCCATCTCTTACCTTTATCAGATAAATTAGCATCGTACCATCCACAAAACAGATTTAATTTGTTCCATTCGCTCTCGCCATGGCGAACCATAACAATCTTATACTTAGACATATTTTTAATTAATAAATTCGAAGAATATGAAAATTGACACGATCAAAGTTAGAACTCTTCTATGAGGCGCTATTCTCAACTATACTTTCTTTACTGTCTGTACTTAAATCCCCACTATTTAATTCTCCTTGGAATGATCATTGACAATATAAGATTTTAGGTTAAGTTCCTATGATATTAGTTCTCTGTTTGCAACACCTAGTGGCACTAATAGTTCTCTTGACAGTTCAAAGCGCATCTTAGGTTAGATTGTTTTCTTGTATAACAAATCATGTGCCTTCTGTCATAATATCTCTCTGAATTGTATCAAATTATACAAAATTGAAATGAATCTAATGCATTGTGTTATAAATAGGAACTAAATAATATATGTTCCTTATCTTTATCATGAATATTTTAATGAACTAGAAAAGAAACCTTTGATGAGGTTATAAACAACATTAAGGATAAATACTGGGACCCTTACAAGTTTCTTCCCCTTTTAATTGGATATTACAAATTATTATTAATTTTTACAAGAATATTATTTAAGAAGAAATAACAAGAAACTTATAAAAAGATATATTGCAACGTATAAATTTGATATATTTATCCATGTTGAAGAAGAAAATAATAATATCGACGTAGTGTTAATTAACTTTATTGTGTGAATTTATTGGAAAGTAGTGTATGTGTGGATACAAAACTGTACAGTAATAATTATCAAAATGATCATTCGCAAAATGATTTGGCCTCGCACATTTAGTGACTTTGCTTCTATGGTATTTATATTAACAATTGTACCATTGATTTATTGGTTCGAACTATGGATAGTGTTACCCGCATTGTATAAATACAATACAATACCATATTTGTGTCACTTTATTTTGGGTAATTTTATAATGTTGAATATCGTGGGTAACTTTACGTATACAGTATTATGCGACACTAGTATTAATAGGACTATTGTACCAGTAAGCACTGCAAATTCTAAGGATGGATGGAGATTATGCACAACTTGTGAAATACTTGCTCCTCCACGTTCTTGGCACTGTTCGACATGTAAAACTTGTATTCTGAAACGTGATCATCATTGTATTTTTACCGGCTGTTGTGTTGGTTATTTCAATCACAGATACTTCATTATGTTTCTTTTATATTTATTCATAGCTACCGTCTATGCCTTTTGTTACAATAACTTTTTTATCTGGTCTAGAATTCATTTCGAATTTCCAATGTCCATTATAAAAATAATATTTCCATTGGCAATATTTGTATTCGGATTTGATGGTTCTATCGAACAATTCTATTTGTTACTTTATATTGTATCAGTTATAGGAATGTTATTTACAGGCATCTTATGCATTTATCATTTTCAATTAGTTTTTAATGGATGCGTTGCAGATGAAAGTAATAAAAATAAACGTACTTATGATCTAGGTTGGCGACAGAATATAAAGGAAGTTCTTGGTGAACGATGGTATTTAACATGGTTGGTTCCATATATAAAATCACAATTACCGCATGACGGTATTACGTGGGATACAAAAAGTCAATGGAAAATGAATAATGCAAAAAGTAAATGAATTGATATACATTTGTTTATCTGAAATACAGTTGAACTTTTCTAATTAATTTTGAAACTATTTTTAAACGCAAGTTAAAACGCATTGAAGATATACAAAATATTATACGTTTTCCTTTCATTTTTATTTCATTTCATTTAAAAATCCTTTTTTAATGTAAATGTTTTTTTTCAATGATTATGACATTACAAGATCTACAAAGTTCAACTGTATTTTATAAATATTTGTTAACATGTTTTTATATATATATATATCATTCAATCATACCTAAAGTTATATATACATATTTATGTATATTGTACAATAGAAATTTCTTAATGTTGACTGATAATTTATATTAAGATTCTAAGATATAAATATATATATATATTTGGCAAGATATTAGAATATGTTTTAAAGAAGTAAAATGTATCTCCTATTTTGCATTTTACTATAAATAGATATTTATTAAAATTGTTATTCAAAGTATACTCTTTTCAAATATAAATAGATAAATAATGTCCCCATATAGAACTTATTAAATTACACATTGTATTATTAACGAATATAACGTGTATTATTTTTATATAAATCTTGTATTATCTATAACTAAAAATTTTGTGATATTTTACTGTATAAATACATATACATACATATAACAGAGTGTCTGAGATTTTCCAGGTCAAACAATGTCAGCATATTCTATGCACGAAAATAAGAAAAACATCTTATGTTATATTTTTGTTACATTTGTGTATAAAATATACTAACACCGTTTGACTGAATAAACCTCGGACATCCTGTATAAAATTTATATAAAATGATTATTTTAATTAGTTATATTTAATCAAATTTCATTGATATTCCCCTTATTTTGATTGGGTATATTTATTATACTTATGTCATTTTTTTTGAAAAATTGAATTTCTACTGTAAAATAGTATTTACAATTCACAATCATTCGACAAATGTTCACTTTCATTCAAATTGTTCAAGTTTTTGCATTAAATTTGATACTAACACGGAAGAGTACTTAACATAATAATTACAACATTTGTTTAAAAATCATATTAAAAAAAAAAATTAAAAAAAAAAGATAATATCACAATGTACAATTGGAAGTCTCCTAACTGTGCATAATCTAAACTGTTTTAGAAGAATAATTTGATAATATAAATATACATATATGACCTGTACAATTTTGTTAAATAATTCTTGTAAAGATATAATACAAGAATTCAATCTGTTTAGTTAATAATATCAAAATTTAGATAAATATCAAAAGATTATTAGATTATTAAACAATATGAATAATATGTACAGTCGAACATACAGACGTTTAGTGTATATACACGATATCTTTTTTAAAAAAGAAAAAAAAAAAACCTGTAATCTATGATATACACACAAATTGCATTGAATTTATACTTTACCAAGTAAATTTATGTAAGTTTTTTTCCTGTAACTTCTTTTTACAGCAAATTTAATGCAAACAAGTGTGAGTATAGCGGCAGATGTAATGTATAATACAACACAAATGCTTATATCAAATATATTAAAATCCCAAACCAATTTTTTAAAATTTAAATATTTGTTAGTGACTAATTGTCCATGTCTCAGTTCAAATTGATGATTTTTAACGTTAATATGTTTTTCATTAGATCCATAATAATTAATTCCCGCATAACTATACTTTCTTTTAAGATAATATAAAACCTGATCAGTTCTCCAAGTACCATTAGAGTATCTGCATTCGGAACATTGTTCTTTTAATGGATATTGTATTTTTTTATGTTGTGGATCTTCCGTTACATCACCTGCCAATCTTGCATTAACTTCATTGTGTGCTTTCCATAACCATAATATATTATCATCTCCATTCTGTACTTCATATATTTTGTTTGTCGATGCCATTTCTACAAAGTGTCTAGCACAATCTGTACAACCAAAGAAATTGGTTATATATTTGTACATAGCACGTAATATTTCAATTGGATTGTAATGACGTTTGTCTTTATTTTCCATTCCAAAATTAACAGTCAACATGTGAAACATTGTCCATAATCCACAAGGATATCCTCTATAAATTTTCTTACTTCCCTTACATCCAATCCATTGTTGCGGACCAGAATATACCGGTGACATTTGTTTCTCCGTTGATCTGACCAATTGAAGAAATTCTTCTCCATATATCTTATCTTTGTTAATAATTGCATCACGAATTTCATCGAGAAAAACACTGCTGTATCTCATTGGAAAATATTTCGCTAAAACATTTAGATATGCTTTTAATGCTTCTAATTTTTCACCTTCTATCATTTTATTCATTGGTATTTCGTCATAAATAGAATATCTTAGTGTACTTTCTAAATCAAGTTGATATAAATGATCTTCAAATATGTCAGAGTTATATTGTTGTTCTTGTTGGGAATTTGATACAGTATTATTTATTTTATTTGGTTTTGGAATTAGAGAGGCAACATTATTATGCTTGATAATAATTTCTTCATCTATATTTATACCCTTTGAACGCATATAATTTCCAATAATTTGTTTAACACTTTCTCTTGTCGGTGTTCTAATATTTAAATGCTTTTGTGGTTCTTCTTGACTTAATACACTTATACTTGGAAATTTGGTGATTTGACTTGTTACACATAACAATTCATTGTCCGATGTAACTCTACGTATTTGTAGACTCGTAATTTTATGCATATCTAATATTACTTCAGTTCCCAAATGTGAATCTGTTTTTTCAAAAAACAGAAAAAAATATTTGACAGTTTTAGGTACTATTTTCCATATATCTTTTATCTCTGCACTCCTATTAATAGAAATAATAATAATAATAATAAAAATAAGAATAAATCATAAAAATATTCAATGAAACAAAATAAATAAAAATAAATCAATCAATTTTTGGCTTACGGTCTCGAAAGAGACCAGACGACCTTGCAACCGGCTCTACGCGCTCAGCGTATTATAATTGCCTAAGTTACGTTTCTTGATAGAAAGATCTTCAGGGTAGGGGTGATCAGTCCCCCTACGCCGTCCCAAGATCCATCGTGGCGATTTGCGAAGCAGACCTTACCGGTAATAACACGGGGCCCAAAAACGTTCTCAAGCCACAATGGAGCAAGGCATGCTTTCTTCTCATTCGATGTCGGAAAGCGGAGACTCGAACCCGCAACTCTCCAGGTGGGAGTTGAGCGCTCTGCCGACTGAGCTATGCCATGCTCTTGAATGAAACAAAATACAATGATTAAATTAATTTATTACCTGTAAGGTGTAATATTAGGCCACGTTAAACCACGTCCCTCTTCTTGTTCTTTTTCAAGTCTCTTAATCAAATTATGTCTAACAACTTCAATATTATCATCTTTCTCAACTAATATACCCATGAAGGAAGAATGTGCATTAACAGGAAAATATTTAAGTGTTGGGTAATGCATTATTTCATATTCACGACAAATAGGATTGTTTTCATCCACAGCACAATCTATTGCTGCAATAACTACGATATCTCTCCATGCTGAAAAAAATATATTCAACGTATAGAACCTTAATTGTTTCATTGATTCATTGTACAATGAAATATTATATAATACAAATAATCAAAATATTAAGAATAATAATAATAATAAATACTTACAATAAACATCGTTTGCAAAAGCCTTCCACGTGGGTGCAAAACGAAAACAAAATCCACACCAGCTATTATAAAATTCAACTAACCATCCTTTAGAATCACCATAGACACTTGTTTTAAAATTAGTATCATTTAATACTATTACATTGTCACTTGCATTATATAAACCTTGAGCAGGATAATTTTGATATTGATCCTCTTGTACTGCAATTACCGATGTATTTTGACATAGTATTACAATGTACAATAAGATTATTTGTATTATGATATCGTGTCGTAGCATGTTTGTATTTACACCGATTCTTCTTAACCTAAATCAATCTTTAAATGTATTGAAATGGTGGTACACTGATTTCTAACAGTGATACCAATGATAAAATAACTGCTTCTAGATATTTTTTACTTTTATATTTCAATATTTCAATATCTTTTATTATCTATTAAGAAACAACTTAATTTGTGTTAAATAGTACATATCTATATCTATATCTATATCTATATATAGATATAAATATAATATATATATATATATATATATTATATTTAATTATTATAATCTAATAATTATTAATAAATACATAATTATTTAATTATATTTAATATATATTATAAATAATATATATATAATAATATATAATAATAATAATAATATATATATATATATATATATATATATATGTTGATATTTTAAAAAAGGAAAAGAGAAAGTTACAAGTTTTAAAGTATATCATTTATTTTATTTCATTTTATTTTTAAATAAATATAAGTAATGTACATTATCGTGTGAAATTAATGTTTATTTTCTTAATGTTATTATATAGATTAAAGCCTTTACAATTGATAATATTTATCAATGCAAAGAATAATTATATTTGTATGTATGCGTTGAAAATTTTCTTTTTTTTTTTTTTTTATATATATAATTTTCATATTATTACAAAAATAATTTTGTTATGAAGAAAATTTCACAAGAAAAAACATATTTATAAACATTAATTTAAACTAAAAAAAAAAAAAAAAAATAATGTTATTGATATTGAAATTATTTTTTTTTTATTCTGATTAATAATGTCAATTAATGGTTTTTAAGTAAGAAAAAATCAAACTTCGTTATTATATTTGAAATATTTTGTTTTCGTTCATCGTTCATTCCTTAAAAATTGAAAAATAAAATGATTATTACGGTAATAGCATCTTCTATCAAATATATATCAGTAATTATATAAAGGCAACAAAAAAAATTTAAATACAATTATGCGCATATTCTAAAGTAAGCTTATTGTTTCTAATTGTTTTACTTGAACAAATCTCTTAATTATAATTTTTGTTGATTATCAATATTAATCCATATTGTTAATTAATTATTATTTCAAAAAATCATATCCATTAATATTTTTAATCGTTAAATCAATGTATAGTGTCATGGCAACAATATTAAAAAAAAGAAAAGGAAAAAAGAAAACCCAGCAGCAAAGCATAGGGTTTATAAATAAAAATATAAATATAAATGTAAATATATACAGATATATATTTATATTTATATAAATATATAAAGGTATATATATATATATATATATAAAAATTCACATATGCGTTAATAGTTTGAAATGAATATTTAATGTTATTATTATTATTATTATTATCTGCATATAAAATCAAAAAATTGTCCTTTACGGAGATGGAGGTTTTAGGATGGTGGAGGGATGGGATGGACAGGGGAAGGTAGAAACAGTTTTTTTTTTATTTATTTGCAGGAGAATCTAATAGCAGCGAATATTATTTGTATTGTATGTAGTAAATCAAACCAATTGAGAAAGAATATGATCGGTATAAACAACCTTGAAGCACCTTTTTAACGCTCTTCCCTACTTAGAAAAGATTTTTCGACGCTTCCTTAAGATATTTTTCTTAAACGTTCAGCCAGTTTCACCCCCAACAACTGATATTTGTCCAGGTCGGGGGCCAACGATTCTGACTCTTGATGCTTGTGCTTTATAGTACTTGTTGATCTTCTAGGCTTGAGACTTCTCAGCCGGAAGTGAATGCGATTCGGATCATATTCTTTGTCACATGCGCGAAAAACCTTCATATCTTGAAATAGCGAGCAAGACATACATCTTCAGAAATTCTTGTCTTCAATTTTTCAAAACTTTCATTTTTTCAGAGTGAAACTTCAAACTTCCCTCTATCATCCAATACCACCTCTTGATTCAAAACCTTATAAACAAACAAACAGGTTAGAGACCTTACTTCTATTTTCAGGTTTAGTTTTTTTTTTGTTTTGTTTTTTTTTTGTTTTGTATTATTTTTGTTTTTTTTTTTGTTTTTTGCATTTTGTTTTATGATTTTTCATTTTTTTGTCTTTTTGCAAATTAATTGCTTTTTTCTTAAATGAATATATTAATAGGAATACCAGAGATTTTTTATTCCCCGATTTCTACACCACGTTTAGTAATTAGAAGAGAGAGTAGTTAATCTATAGTACCCACAAAAAACACGGCTGGAATACAACTCTTTAAAAGCAAATTAATGAAATAAATGAAATTCATCAATCAATTATATTCCAACTTTTCACATGATAATTAATAATTATATATGATTATAACATAAAACTTATTATTTTCATAGAATCAGATTAAAACATTACTACCGATGAAAAACTTTCGATTTCAATATTAACAAAATGTTACTACTATTATTGGTTGAAAAAAAAAAAAAAAAAAA